CCAGGCTCAGCGTCCCTCATGTGGTGACTATGATGATGATGATCCTGATGATGATGATGATACTACTGATGATGATGCTGATGGTGATAAAAAAATTGTATTAATTTAGTAAGCTATGCTATATCAACAATTCTGGTCTCCTAATCCTAGAGCAACTTCTAGCCCTCCCTGTACCAGGACATTGAAAAACAGAGACAATACCAACCTAACCAATGTCACCCATAGCTGATCTTTCCTTGCCACCGAGCAGGCCCCCCCGGTTCGCCAGTGGATTGCCTTCCTCCCTCGGCAACCCCCAGATCTCTCTACAAGGCCTCACGCTCCTGCCTTCACAGGTTACAGGGCAATGCCCCAGCTCTGGCCAGCATCGTTCTGGCGTCGGCAAAACAGGGGCACAGAAAAGGACAACTCTGCAGATATCGGTCCGGGTTCGACCATCCCTGAAATCCTATATCCCGGATGTGGAAGAAAACTCGATGGTGCCCAAAAATTTCAGAACACTAGAAAGCTTAATATAACATTGATGAGATAATGATACTAATGATGATGATGATATTGATGAAGATGATTATGCTTTTTTTGAGAATTCTAAAGAAATTGACTGCACCACCTTTATTAGCTCTAAATGATTGTGAATACTATGCTATATCAGCTATTCGGGCTTCCTAATCCGAGAGCAACTCCTGGCCCTCCCTATCCTGGGACACTACTACTCAAAGACAGTACCAACCAAAACAACATCAACCATAGCTGACCTCTTCTCGCCCCCGAGACTATCCCCGGCCCCAGAGGGTGTCAAGGCGGCCCCCCCAATTCGCCATTGGATTGCCTTCCTCCCTCGGCAAACCCCAGATCTCTCTACAAGGCCTCACACTCCTGCCGTGGCAGGTTACAAGGTAACACCCCAGCTCCGGCCAGCGTCGTTCTAGCATCGGCAAGTTGAGAGCATAGAACAGAGCAACCCTATTGATGTCAGTCCAGGTGCAACCATCTCTGAGGTCGAAGATGCTAATAAAGAAGAAGACCCGATGCTGCTCTAGCTCTCAGAACCCCAGAAAGCTGAAAATAACATGATTGGTCCAAGAAGCTTCCAATAGTCACTGCACAGAGAAAAATTCCCCCTACACCACCACCGCTGTCCCACGCTGCCACCGCAGAGGAGATTCACCTCGGCCCCAACCTGGAACAGAAGTTACCTACTTCTTAGGAAAAAACATAAGGTGCACTTAATCTTTTTTATAATTTAATATACCTGTTCATTTGTGACATACACCTGCTTCCTTCTCCGTATGCACCTAGACAGTCTCACCAGCCAGTTGCTGAGGAATCCCAATGTCTAATGGCACCATGCGGATGCAGACATCCTGCGTGTGTATCAGACAATCTGAAAAGGACACAGCCTATCTTGGATGAGTCAAACCTTTTCTTTTTTTGGTTTTTCGTTTTCCGATCTTTTCTCGTTTGCTTCCGAAGGAAAAGGGAAAGAGAAGGGGAAAAAAAAAAAACTGGAGGACCGCCAGCGCCGTTGGGTTAGCGCTTCGCCATCACCGTCGCGCCATCGTGACACCACGCCATTGCGCCATCGCCTTCGCGCCAGAGCGCTACCGTGCCAATGTGTTGACCAAATCACTGCGCCATCGCGCTATCGTGCCACTTCACCATCGCGCCACCAAGTACATCAAGTTCGCGCGATTAAGCGGGCCAGGTCGAAGCGCCTGGCCCGCTCACGCGTGTCTTTGCAACGTAGTCAGGGCGCGGAGGGGTCAGTGAGAGAGAGAGAGAGAGAGAGAGAGAGAGAGAGAGAGAGAGAGAGAGAGAGAGAGAGAGAGAGAGAGAGAGAGAGAGAGAGAGAG